ACGGCGAGCAAGGCGGGCAGACGTCCCCAAGGGCAGACACCAGGCCGCGGGAGGGCATCGCTGTACCCCCGGCACAGGGCTCCGGGCAGCGGAAGGCAGGCAGCGAGGGGGCAGGGACAAGCTGAAGGCATCTCCCCTGGGCCCCACACAGCCCAGCCCATGGGCCGAACCCCCAGCGTCAGCTGCAATTTGGTGGGCTGTTGCTCCAGGGTGGTGGTGGGGCCTGTGTCCCACTTGGAGGAAGCTGAGTGTTGCTTTGTGGGTGCCAGGTCCACAGTGCCATTTCTCTGTAAATGGCCAGCCACGCAGAGGGCTGGCGGCCTGGCCTGCTCGGTTCAGAGAGTTCGTTGCTGCTGCTACTGAAGGCACCACGGCCGCGTCTAAATCTGCACCTGCCCCGGCCGGCCGGCGGCTCCGGGGGTTGGAGCACCGTCCCACCCACCACAGGGGCCAGTGAGAGCCGGGCCGCGGGGCTCAGTGGTTGAGCGTTGACCTGTGAACCAGCAGGTTATGGTTTAGTACCCGGGCAGGGCACAGGCCTGGGTTTCGGGCTCGATTCCCAGTGTGGGGCGTGCAGGAGGCAGCCGATCGATGATTCTCTCTCATCATGGATGTTTCTACCTTTCTCTCCCTCTCTCTTTTCCCCTCTAATCAATAAAAATATATTTTAAAAATATATGTATGCTTGCTTTATTTAAGAAAACTATACTAATCTACTCCTGATCACTTAAGTCATTAGATCACATAAAGTTTAAATGCCTTAAGGGCACATGCCCGGGTTGTGGGCTCCATCCCCAGTCGGGGACATGCAGGAGGCAGCCGATCAATGATTCTCTCTCATCATGGATGTTTCTATCTCTCTCCCCCTCTTCCTTTCTCTCTGAAATCAATAAAAATATATTTAAAAAATAAGAATAAATAAAAGGTTGCAGTCTGATCCCTGGTCAGGATGTGTGTGAGGCAACCAATCGATGCTCCTCTCTAATAATCAACTGAAAAACAACAACCCCTAAGATCCTCAGGTGAGCATCTTTAAAAAGTCCGCACCCAACCGTCCGGCACCCCCACCAGCCATCCCTGCGCCTCCTCGCCCGAACCAGGCTCATGCAGACAGCTCCCCCTGGGGTCCCTCCCTGAGCACCCCCAGCCCACACTGAGCTCAGGGTCCTCCCCACCGCACTCCTCTCCCCGGCTCCCCATCTCACCAGGCCAGCCCCAGTGCACCTGTCCCTTATCCCTATGGCCCTTCAATCTCATACCTGCGCCCCTCCTCCTCCCTCTCCTCCCCTAGCCTCCCTGTGCACCCCCTCTCCTGCTCACAACCCTCCACGGCCCCCCAGCACCTCCAGGAGGCGCCTCAGCCTGACATCCCTTCAGGCCCAGGCCCTCATCCGCCCTCACCCTCACCCTGCATTCCCCCCTCTGCACTGAGGACCCCGTGCCACGAAGGCACCTCTAGGCCCTGCCCACCTGTGGGGAGCATCCGCTCCCGGCTTTTCAGTTAAATGCTCATCCTTCCAGGTCGGCCCCAAGTATCACTGCTTCCGGAAGGCCTGCCCTGCACCCACAGAGCCGTGGCCTGGGGGTGCCCCCTGAGCCCTGGCGTGGGGCCCTCTGCTCAGAAGGCCCTGCACCAGGTCTGATGCTCCCCTGTTGCCACCTTGAAATCCTTGGCAAATTTTAAACAAGGGGCCCCACAGTTTTATTCTGCGCTGGGCCCCCCGAATGATGGCCCCATGCTCCACACTGAGTTCGGGCCCACGCCTGCTTCCATGTGCCCGGGGTGTCCATGTCAGGCTCCGCCCACCACTCCCAGCAGGTCTCATCGCTCTGCACCGGAAAGGCGGGTCTGCCACTACTTGAGCTCCTACTGTGCGCCCGGAGGTGGCTTTTCTGCTTGCTCCCCGTCACCACTGCCACCTTTCTGCCTCCCTCCACCTTCAGCTTTCCATCCGTCACCCCATCTAATTCTCGTGGCCACCCTACAAAGGCACAGCATTGCGTTTCCAGAAAGGATCCCACAGAGGAAGCCACACACCAAGGCCCACAAATGGTGGGGCTGGGATTCAAACCCAGGGCAGCCTGCTCTTGAGTGCTCTAGACTGGAAGGATGAGTAGCGGATGGATACTGGATGGATGGATGGATGGATGGATACTGGATGGATGGATGGATGGATGAATATTGGATGGATGGATACTAGATGGATAGGTGGATGGATGGATCAATACTAGAGGGATGGATGGATGGGTGGATGGATATATGAATATTAGATGGATGGATGGATGGATGGATAAATACTGGATGGGTAGATGAGTAAACACTAGATGGATGGATGGATACTAGATGGATGGGTAGATGGATGGATCAATACTGGGTGCATGGATGGATGGATGGATAGATCAATATTAGATGGATGGATGGATAGATGAATACTAGATGGATAGATGAGTAAATACTAGTAAATACTAGATGGATGGATGGATGGATGGATGGATGGATGGATACTAGATGGATGGGTGGATGAATGGATCATACTGGATGGATGGATGGATACTAGATGGATGGATGGATGAATACTGGGATACGGGTGCATGGATGGATGGATGGATACTAGATGGATGGATGGATCAATACTAGAGGGATGGATGAATGGATGGATGAATACTGGGATACTGGATGCATGGATGGATGGATGGATACTAGATGGATGGATGTCAATACTAGAGGGATGGATGAATGGATGGATGAATACTGGGATACTGGATGCATGGATGGATGGATGGATACTAGATGGATGGATGGATACTAGATGGATGGATGGATGGATGGATGGATGGATACTAGATGGATGCATGGATGGATGGATGGATACTAGCTGGATGGATGGATGGGTGGGTGGATCAATACTAGAGGGATGGATGAATGGATGGATGAATACTGGGATACGGGTGCATGGATGGATGGATGGATGGATGATACTAGATGGATGATGGATGGATGGATCAATACTAGAGGGATGGATGAATGGATGGATGAATACTGGGATAC